GGAAGGCGGGTTGCGGGGAAGTAACTGCGGGAGGAGTGCGAAGGGGAGGGGTGTGAGTCTGAGAGGGTTCGTCGGGAGGCCGGAGGGAACCGTTAGCACCTGCCGGAGGGCTGATGGGGTGGGAGAGGGCGCTGGAGGATAGGAGGCTGTGGTCACCGGGGGTCAAGACGGGGAGAAATGGAGAAAAGAGTACGGAATGTGGGCCCCTGGAATTCCCTCACCCCCCGCCGGTCTCAGCCTCACTTTCCTCACTTGTAAAGTTGAGGGGTAATAAAAATACTAAACAGGGTTGTGGAGTAAAGAAAATAATAAATGTTCTGGTGCTAAGCAGATGTTAATTGTAAATAGATAAGCTATAAGTATATATACCTAAACAGGGGTATCACAGGGATGGATAGAAGCTGGTTGAAGCTCAGTAGTTTGTCTGTAAACAAGGGTAACGTTCTTTCGGGAGATAGAACCATGTTCCCACCTACGGGGAACGTACACCATCGTGGGAGAGGTGGTAACCACAAAGAACTCTACTGTGTTCAGTTTTAGACAGTTACAAATGGGATTCTTTTGCAGTTAGTTCATTTTTGGGTGGAGAGGCGCAGAGAAGAGATGGAGGAGGTAGTATTTGAGTTTTCGTGCGGAGATGGGATTTCATTAAGTGAAATTATGAGAGTGGAGGGAAGTTTTGGCCAGCTGGAGGGAGGCTCACGAATAAAGGCACGGAGGCAAGGTTATCAGGAAACCAAGGGCACGTTAGGGGAGTGGAGGGAAGTAAGGTAGGAGAGGTAGGTTTGGTCCTTAAATTTTAAAAGGCATGACATTTAGGCAGAGTTTGATTTAGTGCATTAGACTCTCAGGAGCCATGGATGAATGTTACGACTTATTAGAAGATGGTCCAGGAGAGGGGCGGGGTGGTAAAACAGTTAAGCCATTGTAGTAGGGTGGGTAAGAAGATGTGGAGATCCTGAGTTAACATGGCCATTGTCCAAGTATACAGGATTTTCATATGGTTGGATGAAAGGGTCAAGAAAAGGAGTAATGAAATGATGAATTTAAATTTTCAAGTCCAACACAGAGTATGGATACCAAGGGGGAAAGCAGGGGTGGGATGAATTGGGAGATTGGGATTGACATATATGCACTATTGATATTATGTAAAAAGATACCTAATGAGGACGTACTGTAGAGCACAGGGAACTCTACTCAGTGCTCTGTGGTGACCTAAATGGGAAGGAAATCCAAAAAAGAGGGGATATATGTATATGTAGAGCTGATTCACTTTGCTGTACAGTAGAAACTAACACAATATTGTAAAGCAACTATAATAAAAATAAAATTAAAATTAAAAAATAAAATTTCAAGTCCAGGTGGTTTGGAAGATGCTGAATTATTAACTAAAATATGAAAGAAGGAATATGTTTGGATGACAAAGATGCTGTATTTGGTTTGGGAAGTGTTAGCTTTGAGGTGCTAAAAAATATGTGACTTGAATGATTTTTTTTAATATTAAGGAGTTTCATAGGTCAATTTTGACCAAATCTTTGGGTTCATGACCCAGGAGTGAGCTGCTTCAGTCTGGGATTTTTTTTTTTTTTTAAGTTAAACATTTGAGGCTCCCGTGGGACATATAGGTGAAAATGTCTGTTACATAATTGGAAATTCAAGTCAGGAGATGGAAAGAGATGTCATTTATTCATTGAACAAGTACTTGTTAGTTACTCTTGGCCAGGTAGTGTTTTAGATGATAGAGGTAATCACAGAAGCAGTGGGAATAATGATGCTCCTGGAGAAGTGGATAGAGGAAATAGTAAAGAAAGTTGAAGACAGAGCCTTTTTTTTTTTTTTAATTTATTTGACTCTGCCGGGTCTTAGCTGCGACATGCGGGATCTATTTCCCTGACGAGAGATGGAACCAGGCCCCCTGCATTGGGAGCGTGGAGTCTTAACCACTGGACCACCAGGGAAGTCCCTGAAGACAGAACCTTTTGAACCAAGGGAGTAAAATTTTCATTGAAAACAGCAGTCATCTGCATTTATTGAGTGCTTAAATGTGTTGGACACGTGCTCAGCCCTTTTGTTCATTTAATCCTTACACCAACCTATGACATAATGCTATTATTATCCCCATTTTCTAATAAGTAACTGAAGTTTAGAGAGGTTAAGTAAAAACTTGCCTGAGGTCACACAGCTAACAGGGGACAGAACCTTGACTCAAACCCAAGTCTGTCTGATTTCAGAGCTCTCAGCGACAAAGCAATATTTTAAAAGGGAGGTTAACACTGTCAGGCACACAAATCCAGGAGTGACTTGTTGAATGGAGGAGGATGGGAAACAATAGACACAGCACACCAAATAAAGATAATATCAATGGCTTTGTATTTATCTTAAATTTAGCATGATGGGTCCTCTACCTTAATATCCACTTAATTTCTCTTGGTTATTAGAAACTTTTCTGCATCTCCCTCTCCTATAATTTGAGCAAAAGGATTATAAATTTGTTTTGCATGTAAATTTGTTGCAGTAAACCTTCATACTAAGGCTGTTCTTTTGTGTGCTTGTCCATCGAAATACTAAATGCCATTCTGATTTTATTTGAAAATAATAATAAGGAACAATGCCTTCATAGAATTTCAGGATTTGGAACTACTTTAAAGAATACTACATTCTAAAACATCACATTCTGGGGTGTCCCCTGGTGGTCCAGTGGCTAAGACTCCACCTTCCAATGCAGGGGGCACGGGTTCATTCCCTGGTTGGGGAACGAAGATCCCACATGCCCAGCAGTGTGGCAAAATAAATAAATAAATAAACAAAAAATAAAACATCACATTCTGATGCTGTCAGAAGCACATCTGATGTTGGTGGGGAGGGACCTGTCTGTACGTCCTGTACTTGGTTTCTGTTCCTGACCCCTCATTCTGAGTTTTTGTATATTTGACAGGTGGGAAAGGACAGCATGAACTTTACCCCGACGCAATCCCCTGTCTGCAGAAAGTAAGACATTTGCTTATTTTTGAGTTGTTGAAATAAAGAATCCAGACTTCTGTCACCTTAGTACACATTGGCTTAGGAACTAGAAGAGTTTTGGATTTGGACTATATTAGACCTCATTTCTCTAATTATGTGGAATTTAGATTAGAAACTAGGACATAGTAAATGTTAACACAAGAATACAGGCATTTTATGTGGGCCTCATACGGTGCCACTGGACCCTTGGATTACAGGGGGAAACAACCAATAGACAAACACAGGGGACTTTGGACTCTGCCTCTGTGTCAACCTGCATGGTGCCTCATCTTCATCCTCATTGCCACACTCTCGTTTGCAGAATCTCAGAAATACCTCTTAGTTTATCTATTAACCTATATCCCAGAGTTATAAGGCAATACCTTTTCAAAACATGAAACTAAGAACAGTAATATTTCTGTTGTGAGCTTTTGATGATTGAGAAAATATTTGTTCTTCATGCCAGCTGAAAGTGGATTTTAATGTCATTCCTGTACATGCTCACTTATTAAAAGTGCTGCCCATGGGCCTCCCTGGTGGCACAGTGGTTGGGAGTCCGCCTGCCGATGCAGGGGATACGGGTTTGTGCCCCGGTCCGGGAGGGTCCCACATGCCGCGGAGCGGCTGGGCCCGTGGGCCATGGCCACTGAGCTTGCGCGTCTGGCAACGGGAGAGGCCACGACAGTGAGAGGCTCACGTGTCGCAAAAAGAAAAAAAAAAAAAAAAAAGTGCTGCCCATAACCTTCATTAACTACAACTCTGGGCTTTTGGTATACAATTTTTCTACTCTGTGGTCTATTTTGTTGTTGTATAATAAATTGCAGGCAGTTAGCCAAAGTGGATTAATTCTCACATGAGGATTTCTCCACTTATGTATCATTTGTTTTCTAACTTTCATTGTTTTCAGCTTAAGTCTCTTGTTTGCTAAAAGCAAACAAACAAAAAATCCCTCTGGTCCAGCCTTTGATTAGCCTTTGATCTTGGCTGGTCTTGGTCCATGTAATTCAAGTCTTTGATGCTAGAGACTAGGGTCTGATTGGTCGTGTAGTTACTGACTAGGCTGTATTTTCTAATCCTGAATCTTTATCATGCCCTTCCTTAATAATTTTCCCACTTATATATCTACCCCTAAAAATAAACTGTTTCATTATGCATGTTCTAATCTTAAATGGCAATATCGTCTGTATATGCATCTACATACAATTTTTTTTTTTTTTTTTTGCGGTTCGCGGGCCTCTCACTGCTGTGGCCTCTCCCATTGCGGAGCACAGGCTCCGGACGCGCAGGCTCAGCGGCCATGGCTCACGGGCCCAGCCGCTCCGCGGCACGTGGAATCTTCCCGGACTGGGGCACGAACCTGCGTCCCCTGCATCGGCAGGTGGACTCTCAACCACTGCGCCACCAGGGAAGCCCTACATACATTTTTGCGTTTAATATTTGGAGAATTCATTCATATTCATACATGTATCTGTAATTCGTAGTTTCTATAACTTTAAGAATATTCCATTGTATGAATATACCATAGTTTATCCACTATCCTATCAAACAGACATTGGAAGCTTTACTGTTTTTGTTATCACAAATAATGTTATTTTGAACATTTTTGTGTTACTTTGTATGTCTGTGCGGACAAGAGAAATTGCAATTTTACTAGATTGTGCCAATTTACTGTCTGTAGTTTCACCAAATTACACTCCATCAACAGCATGTAAGTGTTCCTATTGCTGTGTGTCTTATAGTATCAAATTTTTGACTGTCACTGTCTGGTCTTACTTAGTTGATATTCCTTTTTTTTTTTTTTTAATGATTTTTTTACTCTCTAACTTGTATTTTGAATCCAGCCTTAAACCTTTAATACCTCGAAAGCAGTTCATAAGATTATTCACAAACCTGTAACATCAAACTTTCAAGATTTGTGAGCACCTTAATTATAAGCACTTTAAGGACATAAACCTGATTTTTAATTTAAGAAATTGTAACATCTCATAAATGTTCAGACAGTTTATGAACGTGTTCTTCCTAATCTTACACAGGCTGACGGCTCTCCCCAAGCAGGAGGCTGCCGGTGGCTTCAGCGGCCCCACCAGGTGGAAGGGGGTGTCTTTCTCCGATTCCGTGCAGTCAACTCCCTTGCCTTCAGTGGAGGATCGTCTGGCCGTCCTCTGCCCTTCTCAGGAGCTTCTAGAATATTACCAGAAGATGATGTCTGAGTGTGAGGCAGAAAACGAGGGCCTGTTGAAGAAGCTTGAGCTGTACAGAGAGGCCTGCGAAGGGCAGGTGAGGAGGAGCCGGCACACCCTCGTGCACTCTGCGTGAGCCCGTCCCTTGAGAAGGCCTTCGAGTGCCAGCTGGTGTCACAGTACATGTGTCAACGTCCTCTTTTTTTTTTTTTAAATTAATTAATTAATTTATTTTTGGCTAAGTTGGGTCTTTGTTGCAGTGTGTGGGCTTCTCATCACGGTGGCTTCTCTTGTTGCGGAGCACAGGCTCTAGGCTCGTGGGCTTCAGTAGTTGTGGCTCGTGGGCTCAGTAGTTGTGGCTCGTGGGCTCAGTAGTTGTGGCTCGCGGGCTCTAGAGCGCAGGCTTAGTAGTTGTGGCGCATGGGCTTAGTTGCTCCGTGGCATGTGGGATCTTCCCGGACCAGGGCTCAAACCCATGTCCCTTGCATTGGCAGGCGGATTCTTATTTGTTTGTTTGTTTTTTTGGCGGGGGGGTATGCGGGCCTCTCACTGTTGTGGCCTCTCCCGTTGCGGAGCACAGGCTCCGGACGCGCAGGCTCAGCGGCCATGGCTCACGGGCCCAGCCACTCCGCGGCATGTGGGATCATCCCGGACCGGGGCACAAACCCGTGTCCCCTGCATTAGCTGGCGGACTCTCAACCACTGCGCCACCAGGGAAGCCCGTCAGGCAGATTCTTAACCACTGCGCCACCAGCAAAGTCCTCAACATCCTCTTTTGATCCCCTCCTCCCCAGCTGAGCTCCCCACCCTCTGGGTGCCCCGTTGGATCACGATGCCCTAAAGAACTCCACCTCTAAAGTCTTCACTCTTTGTCTCAGCCTCTTGTGCACCTCTGGTTCTCTCTCCCTCACACCTGACTTTGCTTCAGTGTCGCCTCCACAGCTCCTGGCTTCTCAGTGTGCTCAGGGCAGCAGGGCAGCTTCTGGCCACTGTGTCCTGCTTCTAACCCGAAGCCCATGGGCTTCTCTCCAGTAGTCTAGTCGCTGTACTGCCTGCACGCGGCCCTGCTCATCTGCGCCCCTTGCCCGGCAGAAGCCCTCCCTGTGGCTTAACCCCATCCTCGACCACCTGTGTCCTGGAGCAGGGCTTCTCAGCCTTGGCCTTACCGACGTGAGGGCTGATGATTCTTTGTTGTAAGGACCGTCCTGTGTATGCAGGATGTGTAGCAGCATCCCAGGCCTCTACTCGCTAGATACTGGTAGCCCCAAGTTGTGACAGTCCAATATGCCCCCAGACATTGCCAGATTTCTCCTGGGGGCATGGGCAAAACCACCCCAGTTGAGAACCACTGTCCTAGAAAGGTCACAGGTCATTACAGGATAAATTCATGGTAAACAAATCATCTGTATCCTCAGTCACCACGCAGCAGTTTTCTTACCCATCACTGGTTGGCTCCCCGTCCCTGCACGTCTGTGCCCTGCCTTCACTGCTCCCCTCCGGCCCGCAGGCTCCCTCTGTCCTCAGGCAGCCTTGCTTCCCAGTTCACAGAGGGAACACCAGCTTCCTGCCCATCCACACACAGTCACCTGTGTCCGTATCCATCTCCTCCCTCTTACCGATCCAGGGACCACAGTAAGCTGAAGGATCCAGCACTTTCTCTGCTCCCCACCCCCCTTTCCTTCCTAAGAAACCCTGCTTTGCTACCTCGCCTCTTTGTGTTTTTTTTTTTTAATTTATTTTTCGGCCGTGCTGCACGGCTTTCAGGATCTCAGTTCCCCGACCAGGAATTGAACCCAGGCCATGGCGGTGAAAGCCCCAAACCTTAACTATTAGGCCATCAGGGAACTCCCCTTTGTGTTCTGTTTTTAACCTCGTGCCTGATGTTGGCTTTTCCTCCTCAGTATATGGACAGATTCAAGTCTTTCCCAACAAAAGAGAAAGGCACCCCTCTAGCTGCACCCCCAGCTACTCTCAGCGGGGAGGCGCCTTCTTTCCCAGCTACTCTTCCGGAATAGTTTGACTTCCTCACCCACTCAGCGACTCCTTGACTGCGGTTGGGTCCTGTCCTCGCTGCTCCACCTGTGGACTCCAGGACCTGTTGCCAAAATTACCTCATCTCTCTGTGCCCTTTGAGTGTTTGTCACTGTCGACGTCTCCTTTCCCAAAACTCTGCTCCCATCTTGATTCCGGTGTCATTTTTCTTTCCCAGTGTCTGTCCCCGCTCTCTGACCGGTTCTCAGTGTCCGTTAACAGCTCTCCTTCCTTAGTCTTCCCAAGTTCTTCCCGATTCCACCGTAAATGATCTCGTTTTATCCATGCACTGTAGTTCTGCCTATGGGACTGTGACATCCAGGTAACTAGTGCTGACTCGTGCTCATCCTGAGCTCCAGGGTGTTGTGTCTGTATCTGAACGAACCTCCTTTTCCTCTCCCCGCCCATGTGTGCGCATAGACCACTGCCATTTCCCTCCATTCACCCCTGTCTCTTAACTTTTCTTTATTCTGTGACTTCATGACTGGTGTCATTGGCTGCAGTTCTGCCAAGCCCTCCATTCAGTCATTCACTAAGACCCATTGATTCTGCGTCCTGAATGTCGCTCAGTCCCTTCCAGCCACCTCATCACTACTGCTGCCGCACTATTCAAACTCCAGTTTCATCTCACCTGAGCATCTTCCATGGTCCCAGCCTCTAGCGCCACACCGCTGCGGCCGCCTGTCACTTCCCACTCCAGTGATGCTGAGGTCCTCGTGGTCGGCCAAGCATTTCCGGCTCTTTGCTGGTTCGTGCTGGTTTACCACGCTCTTTCCCGAGAGCACTGCCCTCCGCTTGTCTCTAACGGCCTTCCTTTCAGGCTTCAGCTTTCTGGTGGTGGACTCTGACTTCCCCAACAGGCTCCAGAGATTCTTCTCCTGCTGTACCGTCCCCCTCTACCATTTTTCCGTGCGGGCTTCTCCATTAAATAATTCTTGAATTTTAATTGTTGGCATGTCTGTCTCCCCACACAATTCCTCAGCTCTGTAGGCAGGAATCATACCTCTTCATCTTTGTTTTCCAGAATTTCATAACAATGCTTCTTACATAGAAAGCATTAAAAGTGTGACTAGAACAGGTGGATCACGTGGCGTCCTGTGTTCTCTCGTCTGTAAAAGGAACCGTGAGAGCTCTGATGTTGAATGCAAACGTCGCGCTCACTTTGTAGTTTTAAACTTGTCTGTACACAGCCTGTTGTTGTCATTTGGATCCTGTATTGTTGAAACCATCCACTTTGTAATATTTCTACATGAACTGACTCTGCCGCATCCAACGAGAGATACTCCTATGAAGCCCAGTGTGTTTTCAACTACCTTTTTCCCCAGCATAAACTTGAATGGGATTTGCAGCAGAGGGAGGAAGAGATTGCTGAGCTGCGGAAAGCTCTAAGCGATGTGCAGGTCTGCCTCTTCCAGGAGCGGGAGCATGTCTTACGCCTCTACTCAGAAAACGACCGACTGAGAATCAGGTACCAAGTGAGAGAAGGGAAATGTTGGGGGTATATTTCTAAATCAAGCTCAACAAGATACGTTTCTCTGTGGTCCTTCTCTTAGGTTGCATTCCCAGGGGACAGGCTCTGAGATGGAGATTTGCCTGCACGATGGTTAGCAGGGAGGCTCTTAGGAAGAACAGCTATGAGCGGATTTGGGTTGAGGGAGAATTTGAACTGTGATAGAGTCCACCGAAGTAACAGAGGCCTTAGCCAACCCCACAGGGAGTGGTCAGTCATTGCATGCAGGCTGCCACCAGGGAGATAAGCTCGGGAGAGGCAGCCCCCTTCAGCCAAGGGCAGCTCCCGGGTTATGAGCATCTTGGTCCTGAAGGTGGCATCTGAGCAGTGTCCCATGGCATCCACTACAGTGCACTTTTTTTTTATTGTGGTAAAATATACTTAACCTAAAATGTACCATTTTAATCATTTTTAAGTGTAGAGTTCAATATCAGTAAGTACATTCACGTCATCGTGCAGCCATACCACCATCCACCTCCAGAACTTTTTCATCATACCAAACACTAAACCCTAACTCCCCATTTCCCCTCCCCCAGCCCCTAGTAACCACTATTCTATTTTCTGTCTCTATGTATTTGACTATTCTAGGCCTCATATAAGTGGAATCATACGGTATTTGTCCTTTTGTGTCTGGTTTATTTCACTTAGCATAATCTTTTCAAGGTTCATCCACATTGTACAACATATGTGTCAGAATTTCATTCCTTTTTAAGACCAAATCATATTCCATTGTATGTATACACCACATTTTGTTTATTCATGTGTTGATGGACATTTGAGTTGTTTGAACCTTCTGGCTGTTGTGAATAACACTGCTCTGGACATGGGTGTGCAAATACCCGTTCAAGTTCCTGCTTTCAGTTCTTTTGTGTATCTATCCAGAAGTGGAATTGTTGGATCAAATGCTAATTCTGTGTTTAGTTATTTGTTTTGAAGAACCAGCATACTGTTTTCCACAGTGGCTGCACCATTTTACATTCCCACCAGCAGTGCACAAGGGTTCTAATTTCTTCTAAAGCACGCCAGCACTTGTTTTCCATTTTTTTAAAAAAAATATTTATTTATTTATTTATTTTTGGCTGTGTTGGGTCTTTGTTGCTGTGCGTGGGTTTTCTCTAGTTGCAGCGCGTGGGTTTTCTCTAGTTGCGGCGAGCGGGGTCTACTCTTTGCTGTGGTGCGCAGGCTTCTCATTGCGGTGGCTTCTCTTGTTGCGGAGCACAGGCTCTAGGTGCGCAAGCTTCAGTAGTTATGGCTCGCGGGCTCTAGAGCGCAGGCTCAATAGTTGTGGCGCACAGGCTTAGTTGCTCCGTGGCATGTGGGAATCTTCCCGGACTAGGGCTTGAACCCGTGTCCCCTGCATCAGCAGGCGGATTCTTAACCACTGCGCCACCAGGGAAGTCCCTGTTTTCCATTTTTTAATAATAAGCCATCATTATGGATGTCAAGTAGTATCTCATTGTTATTTTGATTTGCATTGCCCTAATGATTACTGATGATGAGCATTTTTTCCATTGCTTATTGGTCATTTGTATATTTTCTTTAGAGAAATGTCTATTTCAGTCCTTTGCCCATTTTTGAATTGAGTTGTTTTTTGCTGTTATTTAGTTTTAGGAGTTCTCTATGTATTCTGGATATTAATGCCTTATCAGATAAGTGATTTGCAAGTGTTCTCTCCCATTCTGAGAGTTGCCATTTTATGCTTTTGATAGCGTTCTTTGATGCACTAAAGTTTTTAATTTTCATAAGGTCCAATTTGTATATTTTTCCTTTTATTGCTTCTGCTTTTGGTGTCAAATCCAAGAAATCATTGCCAAATCCAATATCACTATGTTTTTTCTAAGAGTTTTATAGTTTTTTTAAAATTTATTTTTTTAATTAATTAATTAATTTATTTATGGCTGTGTTGGGTCTTCATTGCTGCATGCGGGCTTTCTCAGGTTGAGGCAAGCGGGGGCTACTCTTCATTGTGGCATGCGGGCTTCTCACTATGGTGGCTTCTCTTGTTGCGGAGCACAGGCTCCAGGTGCGTGGGCTTCAGTAATTGTGGCACATGGGCTCAGTAGTTGTGTCTCACCGGCTCTAGAGCACAGGCTCAGTAGTTGTGGCACTTGGGCTTAGCTGCTCTGTGGCGTGTGGGATCTTCCCTGACCAGGTCTCGAACCCGTGTCCCCTACAGTGGCAGGCGGATTCTTAACCACTGCGCCACCAGGGAAGCCCAGAGTTTTATAGTTTTTGATCTTACATTTAGATTTTTGATCCATTTTGAGTTAATGTTTGTATATGTATTAGGTAAGGGTCCAACTTCATTCTTTTGCACGTGGATACCTAGTTTTTCCAGGACCGTTTGTTGAAAAGACTTTTTCCCCATTGAAAGTTTTGCACGTGGATACCTGGTTTTCCCAGGACCGTTTGTTGAAAAGACTTTTTCCCCATTGAAAGTTGAAAATCATTTGACCATCTATGCAGGACTTATTTATGGTCTCTTTATTGTATTTTGTTGGTCTATTTGTCGGTCATTATGCCAGTACCGCACTGTTTTGTGTGTGTATATGTGTGTGTGTTGTTTTGTTTTGGCCACGTTGCATGGCATGCATGATCTTAGTTCCCTGACCAGGGATCGAACCCGTGCCCCCTGCAGTGGAAGTGCGGAGTAGTAACCGCTGGATTGCCAGGGAATTCCCTTTGTTGTTGTTTGGAGTACCACACTGTTTTGATTACTGTGGTTTTGTACTAAAGTTTTGAAATCAAGCAGTGTGAGCCCTCCAACTTTGTTCTTTCTCAAGATTATTTTGACTATTTGGAGTCCCCTGAGGTTCCATATGAATTTTAGGGTAGATTTTTCTATTTCTGTAAAAAATGTTGGGATTTTTGTAGGAATTGCACTGAATCTATAGATTGCTCTGAGTAATATTGACATCTTCCAATCCATGGACACAGAATGTCTTCCCACTTGTTAATTCTTTCATTTCTTTCAGCAATGTTTTCAGTGTGTCTTTCCCTTCCTTGGTTAATTCCTGCATGTTTTATTCTTTTTGATGCTATTGTATATCAAATTCTTTTCTTAATTTCCTTTTAGGATTGTCAACAGTGTATAGAAATGCATGTTGATTTGTGTTATGCTCCTTTGCTGAATTCACTTACTAGTTCCAAGAGTTTTTTGCAGAACCCTTAGGGTTTTTTATGTATAAAATCGTGTCATCTGTGAACAAAGGTAATTTTATTTCTTGCTTTCCAATTTGGGTGTCTTTTCTTTCTTTTTCTTCTCTACTTGCTCTGGCTAGGACTTCCAGTACTTTGTTAAATAGAAGTTGTAAAATGGGCATCCTTGTCTTGTTCTTGGTCTTAGAAGAGAATTTTCAGTCTTTCACCATTGAGTATGATGTTAGCTGTGGGTTTTTCATATGTGGCTTTTATTGTGCAGAGGTTGTTTCCTTCCATCCCTAATTTGTTGAATGTTTTTGTCACAAAAGGATGTTGAATGTTGTCAGATGCGTTTTCTGTATCAGATGATGATCGTATGTTTTCTTCCTTCATTCTGTTAATGTGCTGTATTACTTTGATCGATTTTCATATGTTGAACCATGCTTGCTTGCATTCCAGGAATGAATTCCACTTACTCATGGTGTATAATCCTTTTAATATACTGCTGAATACCAGTTTGCTAATATTTTGTTGAGGATTTTTGTATCAATGTTCATAAGGGATATTGGTCTGTAGTAGTTCTGTAATGTTTGTCTGGCTTTGGCATCAGGGTACTGATGGCTTCATAGGAAGTGCTAGGAAGTGTTGCCTTTTCTTCAGTTTTTGGAAAAGTTTGAGAATGATTGGTGTTAGTCCTTCTTTAAATGTTTAGTTGAATTCACCACTGAAGCAGTCAGGTCAAGGGTTTTTCTTTGTTGGGAGGTTTTTGTTTTTTTTTTTTTTGCCGTATGCGGGCCTCTCACTCTTGTGGCCTCTCCCGCTGCGGAGCACAGGCTCTGGACGCGCAGGCTCAGCGGCCATGGCTCACGGGCCCAGCCGCTCCGCGGCACGTGGGATCCTCCCGGACCAGGGCACGAACCCGCGTCCCCTGCATCGGCAGGCAGACTCCCAACCACTGCGCCACGAGGGAAGCCCTGTTGGGAGGTTTTTGATTTACTGATTTAATCTCTTTAATAGTTTCAACCTTGACCTAATGCAGAGCTTCCCTGGGCCATACTGAAAGCTCACCTTCCACGTCACCTGATTTATGGTTCAGAGTAATGTTCCAAAGTATAGAAAAGTTGTCTCCAGAAACTGAGGAGTTCTTTCAGCATTATGCTTCCTTCTTGGTTGGTGGTAGGTGTGAGATACAGGAATTTGTCCTTGCCAGTATCCTGGCAAGCCTAGATCAGACTCCTAAAAGTTCACTGATGTGCTTTGTAGGGTTTACCTCTGACCCTTTAGAGCTCATGTAAGGTTCTAACACACTCGCCACATCCAGTCTGATTTAATATGATATCTTAGTAGTGAACTGATATGATGTGTGGAATGGCCAGGTCCAGGTCCTTTTGGACAAATTTGATAGAGAGCAGTAGAGTTAACGAGGTCCTAGGAAAGTCTGTAAAAGTATACTGTTGTTCACCTCACATGAATGAGAAC